GTCAGATGAATGGGTAGATGAATAACAAAGGAAATGTTTGTAATGAAATAGTTTTCAATGGATAAAATAATACACTACAAGAGGGAATGAATGAGGAATTTCCTGACAGCTACGAGACTTGGTTGTGCCAGAGATTGAGTTGAGAGGCGGGACCAGAGAGCTGAAGCTCAGCCACCGCAAGCACAAAAAAAAAACCTGCCTGACTCACTCTTACAACCAGTTAAACGGGTAAATAAAAAGGTATATTTCAGGGGGAAAATATATAAAGTGGTGCTTTAGGTTCCTCCTTCCCTAGGTTCCTAAGTGATATCTTATGTTGATCTCTTCTATACATGCTGCTGTGTTATCTTGCTCGCCTCACCCCTGCGATATCAGGTACTGTATCAGCTCTCATGTCCTCTCCTTCTACCAGACAGTCGTTTACATTTCATTTCGTATTGCGTGTGTGCGCGGACTTGTATGTTTGCGTGCGTGCACGCACTTGTATGTTTGCGTGCGTGTATGCGCGCGTGCACGCACTTGTATGTTTGCGTGCGTGTATACGCGCGTGCACGCACTTTTATGTTTGCGTGCGTGTATGCGCGCGTGCACGCACTTGTATGTATGCGTGCGTGTATACGCGCGTGCACGCACTTGTATGTTTGCGTGCGTGTATGCGCGCGTGCACGCACTTGTATGTTTGCGTGCGTGTATGCGCGCGTGCACGCACTTGTATGTTTGCGTGCGTGTATGCGCGCGTGCACGCACTTGTATGTTTGCGTGCGTGTATGCGCGCGTGCACGCACTTGTATGTTTGCGTGCGTGTATACGCGCGTGCACGCACTTGTATGTTTGCGTGCGTGTATGCGCGCGTGCACACACTTGTATGTTTGCGTGCGTGTATGCGCGCGTGCACGCACTTGTATGTTTGCGTGCGTGTATACGCGCGTGCACGCAACTATCGTCACAGGGGAAACACGTGCGGTAAAAATTTTGATGCAAATTTCATTACTCGCTGTTTGCTAATTGTGTTCCTTTTAGCAGGTAAACAAGATGATTTGCCTCGCACGGAACAAAGCGGTAAACATCCATAATGCCGGCCAGTAACGACCGCAATAACAGTCCAATAACGCCGCACAGACTCGTTAGTGTGGCGCCCCTTTTTTTGCGTAGTTGTTTGTTGAAAAGTATATATATATATGTTGGTAGCAGGAGGCGATTACCCTACTCGATTATTCCTTGTATTCTTTATCAGCATAGAGAGATAGGGGTCGAGTGGCCGTCTGTTTCTCTACACATGTTATCCTCCTGAAATATTCCTTTAATACTGCGCGCGCATACACACACACACACACACACACACACACACACACACACACACACCACACACACACACACACACACACTATTATCAAGCACCGTGGTGTTATTGGCCCATTGTGTCGTGTTATTGCTCTCCCAGGAAGCTCCCTGTTGGCATAAGAGCCAGGGAGCTTCCTGGTGTCATAGGGCCCTGGAGCTTCCTGGTGTCATTGGGCCCTGGAGCTTTCTGGTGGCATAAGGGCCAGGGAGCTTTCTGGTGGCATAAGGGCCAGGGAGCTTTCTGGTGGCATAAGGGCCAGGGAGCTTTCTGGTGGCATAGGGCCAGGGAGCTTCCTGGTGGCATAAGGGCCAGGGAGCTTCCTGGTGGCATAAGGGCCCTGGAGCTTCCTGGTGGCATAAGGGCCCTGGAGCTTCCTGGTGTCATAGGGCCAGGGAGCTTCCTGGTGGCATAAGGGCCAGGGAGCTTCCAGGTGTCATAGGGCCAGGGAGCTTCCTGGTGTCATAGGGCCAGGGAGCTTCCTGGTGGCATAAGGGCCCTGGAGCTTCCTGGTGGCATAAGGGCCCTGGAGCTTCCTGGTGGCATAAGGGCCCTGGAGCTTCCTGGTGTCATAAGGACCCGGAGCTTCCTGGGGCATAAGGGCCCGGGAGCTTCCTGGTGGCATAAATGCCCGGGAGCTTCCTGGTGGCATAAGGGCCCTGGAGCTTCCTGGTGTCATAGGGCCAGGGAGCTTCCTGGTGTCATAGGGCCCTGGAGCTTCCTGGTGTCATAGGGCCAGGGAGCTTCCTGGTGGCATAAGGGCCAGGGAGCTTCCTGGTGGCATAGGGCCAGGGAGCTTCCTGGTGGCATAAGGGCCAGGGAGCTTCCTGGTGGCATAAGGGCCAGGGAGCTTCCTGGTGGCATAAGGGCCAGGGAGCTTCCTGGTGGCATAAGGGCCAGGGAGCTTCCTGGTGGCATAAGGGCCAGGGAGCTTCCTGGTGGCATAAGGGCCAGGGAGCTTCCTGGTGGCATAAGGGCCAGGGAGCTTCCTGGTGGCATAAGGGCCAGGGAGCTTCCTGGTGGCATAAGGGCCAGGGAGCTTCCTGGTGTCATAAGGGCCAGGGAGCTTCCTGGTGGCATAAGGGCCAGGGAGCTTCCTGGTGGCATAAGGGCCAGGGAGCTTCCTGGTGGCATAAGGGCCAGGGAGCTTCCTGGTGTCATAGGGCCAGGGAGCTTCCTGGTGTCATAGGGCCAGGGAGCTTCCTGGTGGCATAAGGGCCAGGGAGCTTCCTGGTGGCATAAGGGCCAGGGAGCTTCCTGGTGGCATAAGGGCCAGGGAGCTTCCTGGTGGCATAAGGGCCAGGGAGCTTCCTGGTGTCATAGGGCCAGGGAGCTTCCTGGTGTCATAGGGCCAGGGAGCTTCCTGGTGGCATAAGGGCCAGGGAGCTTCCTGGTGGCATAAGGGCCAGGGAGCTTCCTGGTGGCATAAGGGCCAGGGAGCTTCCTGGTGGCATAAGGGCCAGGGAGCTTCCTGGTGGCATAGGGCCAGGGAGCTTCCTGGTGTCATAGGGCCAGGGAGCTTTCTGGTGTCATAAGGGCCAGGGAGCTTCCTGGTGTCATAGGGCCAGGGAGCTTCCTGGTGGCATAAGGGCCAGGGAGCTTCCTGGTGGCATAAGGGCCAGGGAGCTTCCTGGTGGCATAAGGGCCAGGGAGCTTCCTGGTGGCATAAGGGCCAGGGAGCTTCCTGGTGTCATGAGGGCCAGGGAGCTTCCTGGTGTCATGAGGCCAGGGAGCTTCCTGGTGTCATGAGGCCAGGGAGCTTCCTGGTGTCATGAGTCCAGAGCAACCCGTTCTCACATTTTCTTTAAGTCAGTATTGACTTATTAAATAAGTGCATATGTGACATACTAATTAATTGTGAATATTTTAGTTTACCTTGAAAAGCTTCATAGAAAACACCGACTTTACCTAACCTTCTTAGTATGTTAAGATAAGCATCTTATTGCTTCGTAATTACAATTATTACTTAATCTATTATAGATATAGGTTAGGTAATAATTGTAATTACGAAACAATAAGATGCTTATCTTAACATACTAAGAAGGTTAGGTAAGGTCGGTGTTTTCTATGAAGCTTTTCAAGGTAAACTAGTATGTTTAGTATGTCACATATACACGTATTTAATAAGTCAATATTGACTGTAAGAAAGTTCGAGAACGGGTTGTGCCATACGGCCAGGGAGCTTTGTTGTCATAGGGCCAGGGAGCTCCCTATTGTCATAGGGCCATATACTGCCCTAGTGAGAGATTTATAATGTCGTAAACATGCCTTTGAACATTCACACATACCTTACTGACGCCTCCGAGGCCTCCAGAACCAGGCTGTATGGGTCGTGAGAGTTACTTGATCAAGGGCTCTTGACCGCGGGGTACGTACCATACCTCACCGGGTATGGTACCTTGCCTGTTACCCAAAGGACTACAGGTAAGGTTAGGTTAACATTAATACCTCCATGTTACTGAATGCCACTGTATAGGCATAGGTTACCTGCTGCATGGGTAACAGCTTCTCCCCCGAATCAACCTACCCTGGCTTTGCGCCCTGGTGAGGCCACTCCAGACCAGGGCCCAGATTCACGAAGCAGTTACGCAAGTACTTACGAACGTGCACATCTTTCCTCAATCTTTAACGGCTTTGGTTACATTTATTAAAAAAGTTTACAAGCATGAAAACTTGCCAATCAACTGTTGTTATTGTTATAAACAGCCTCGTGGTGCTTCGGAGCTCATTAACTGTTTAATAATTGTAAACAAAGCCGCCAAAGATTGAGAAAAGATGTACAGGTTCGTAAGTGCTTGCGTAACTGCTTCGTGAATCTGTCCCCAGGCCGACACCAGAGCGCAACTCCATAGTCTCCTGAGACTGATGGATGTCTACTACTACTACTATTCAGTACTTGTTGGATACTTGCTTGATGGGGGTTCTGGGAGTTCTTCTACTCCCCAAGCCCGGCCCGAGGCCAGGCTTGACTTGTGAGAGTTTGGTCCACCAGGCTGTTGCTTGGAGCGGCCCGCAGACCCACATACCCACCACAGCCCGGTTGGTCCGGCACTCCTTAATAGACCCATCTGGTCTATTGTATACCCATGGGGGACTATTGTTTATCTCCCTTGCTTAGTTATCTTGAGGTTATCTTGAGATGATTTCGGGGCTTTAGTGTCCCCGCGGCCCGGTCCTCGACCAGGCCTCCACCCCCCCAGGAAGCAGCCCGTGACAGCTGACTAACACCCAGGTACCTATTTTACTGCTAGGTAACAGGGGCATAGGGTGAAAGAAACTCTGCCCATTGTTTCTCGCCGGCGCCTGGGATCGAACCCAGGACCACAGGATCACAAGTCCAGCGTGCTGTCCGCTCGGCCGACCGGCTCCCTGTAGTTAGCTATATCCGCTGATTTAATTGCTTCTGGTATCTCACTTGCATCCAAGATTTTTCTCCATATTATACTGAGAGCTTGTGCTACTGGGCCTGACAGTTGAGTGGACAGCGCTTCGGATTCGTAGTCCTGAGGTTCCGGGTTCGATCCCCCTGTAGAAGTGGAAACAAATAGGCAAAGTTTCTTTCACCCTGATGCCGCTGTTCACCTAGCAGTAAGTAGGTACCTAGCAGTTACACAGCTGCTACGGGCTGCTTCCTGGGGGTCTGTAGCAAAAAGGCCTGGTCGAAGACCGGGCCGCTAAGCCCCGAAATCATCTCAAGATAACTCAAGATATAACTCAAGAAGGGAGGACAGGCGTGGGGAGGGGAAGGGTGTCAAGGGAGAGGCGGGGGGAGGGGAAGGGTGTCAAGGGAGAGGCGTGGGGAGGGGGGAGGGTGTCAAGGGAGAGGCGTGGGGAGGGGGAGGGTGTCAAGGGAGAGGCGTGGGGAAGGTGAGGGTGTCAAGGGAGAGGCATGGGGGGGAGGGGGAGGGGGGAGGGTGTCAAGGGAGAGGCGTGGGGAGGGGGAGGGGAGGGTGTCAAGGGAGAGGCGTGGGGAAGGGGAGGGTGTCAAGGGAGAGGCATGGGGGAGGGGGAGGGGGAGGGTGTCAAGGGAGAGGCGTAGGGAGGGGAAGGGGTGTCAAGGGAGAGGCATGGGGGAGGGGGTGGGGGAGGGGGAGGGTGTCAAGGGAGAGGCGTGGGGAGGGGGAGGGTGTCAAGGGAGAGACGTGAGGGAGGGGAAGGGTGTCAAGGGAGAGGCGTGGGGAAGGGGGGGGTGTTAAGGGAGGACAGGCGTGGGGAGGGGAAGGGTGTCAAGGGAGAGGCGTGGGGGAGGGGGAGGGTGTCAAAGGAGAGGCGTGGGGGAGGGGGAGGGTGTCAAAGGAGAGGCGTGGGGGAGGGGAAGGGTGTCAAGGGAGAGGCGTGGGGAGGGGGAGGGTGTCAAAGGAGAGGCGTGGGGGAGGGGGAGGGTGTCAAAGGGAGAGACGTGGGGGAGGGGAAGGGTGTCAAGGGAGAGGCGTGGGGAGGGGGAGGGTGTCAAGGGAGAGGCGTGGGGAGGGGGAGGGTGTCAAGGGAGAGGCGTGGGGAGGGGGAGGGTGTCAAGGGAGAGGCGTGGGGAAGGGGAGGGTGTCAAGGGAGAGGCATGGGGAGGGGGGGGGGGAGGGTGTCAAGGGAGAGGCGTAGGGAGGGGAAGGGTGTCAAGGGAGAGGCGAGGGGGAGGGGGAGGGTGTCAAGGGAGAGGCGTGGGGAGGGTGAGGGTGTCAAGGAGAGACGTGAGGGAGGGGGAAGGGTGTCAAGGGAGAGGCGTGGGGGAAAGGGGGGTTAAGGGAGGACAGGCGTGGGGGAGGGGAAGGGTGTCAAGGGGGAGGCGTGGGGAGGGGGAGGGTGTCAAAGGAGAGGCGTGGGGGAGGGGGAGGGTGTCAAAGGAGAGACGTGGGGGAGGGGAAGGGTGTCAAGGGAGAGGCGTGGGGAGGGGGAGGGTGTCAAGGGAGAGGCGTGGGGGAGGGGGAGGGTGTCAAAGGAGAGACGTGGGGGAGGGGAAGGGTGTCAAGGGAGAGGCGTGGGGAGGGGGAGGGTGTCAAGGGAGAGGCGTGGGGGAGGGGGAGGGTGTCAAAGGAGAGACGTGGGGGAGGGGAAGGGTGTCAAGGGAGAGGCGTGGGGAGGGGGAGGGTGTCAAAGGAGAGGCGTGGGGGAGGGGGAGGGTGTCAAAGGAGAGACGTGGGGGAGGGGAAGGGTGTCAAGGGAGAGGCGTGGGGAGGGGGAGGGTGTCAAGGGAGAGGCGTGGGGAGGGGGAGGGTGTCAAGGGAGAGGCGTGGGGAGGGGGAGGGTGTCAAGGGAGAGGCGTGGGGGAGGGGGAGGGTGTCAAAGGGAGAGGCGTGGGGGAGGGGAAGGGTGTCAAGGGAGAGGCGTGGGGAGGGGGAGGGTGTCAAGGGAGAGGCGTGGGGAGGGGGAGGGTGTCAAGGGAGAGGCGTGGGGTGGGGGAGGGTGTCAAGGGAGAGGCGTGGGGAGGGGGAGGGTGGGAAGGGGGGGGAGGGTGTCAAGGGAGAGGCATGGGGAGGGGGAGGGTGTCAAGGGAGAGGCGTAGGGAGGGGAAGGGTGTCAAGGGAGAGGCGAGGGGGGGGGGGAGGGGGAGGGTGTCAAGGGAGAGGCGTGGGGAGGGTGAGGGTGTCAAAGGAGAGACGTGAGGGAGGGGAAGGGTGTCAAGGGAGAGGCGTGGGGAAAGGGGGGTTAAGGGAGGACAGGCGTGGGGAGGGGAAGGGTGTCAAGGGGGAGGCGTGGGGGAGGGGGAGGGTGTCAAAGGAGAGGCGTGGGGGAGGGGGAGGGTGTCAAAGGAGAGCGTGGGGGAGGGGAAGGGTGTCAAGGGAGAGGCGTGGGGAGGGGGAGGGTGTCAAAGGAGAGGCGTGGGGGAGGGGGAGGGTGTCAAAGGAGAGACGTGGGGGAGGGGAAGGGTGTCAAGGGAGAGGCGTGGGGAGGGGGAGGGTGTCAAAGGAGAGGCGTGGGGGAGGGGGAGGGTGTCAAAGGAGAGACGTGGGGGAGGGGAAGGGTGTCAAGGGAGAGGCGTGGGGAGGGGGAGGGTGTCAAAGGAGAGGCGTGGGGGAGGGGGAGGGTGTCAAAGGAGAGACGTGGGGGAGGGGAAGGGTGTCAAGGGAGAGGCGTGGGGAGGGGGAGGGTGTCAAGGGAGAGGCGTGGGGAGGGGGAGGGTGTCAAGGGAGAGGCGTGGGGAGGGGGAGGGTGTCAAGGGAGAGGCG